TCGAAGACTCTAATAGTGATTCTGACAAGGGTTCAGCTATGGATGTGAATGACCCAGAATATCATAATGTTGAAGAAATAAAAGATCCTGAACATAATGCACCTGAACGAATTATGGGTGATTTAGATAAAGCTAAAAATAATGATCCTGATACTTTAGAGGAAGTGTTAAAAGATCTTGAAAAGTATTTGGAAGAAGAATTCATTCCAGAATACAAAAGATCAGAGAGTGAAGCAGATGACTTAGAAGCGGAAGGGGCTAGATCTAAACGACCTCGATCTGATAATCCGTAAGAGGAAGAAGAAAATAATAAACGTCAAAAATCCAATAATGAGGGTGACGATGGTGAGGATGGTAATGATAGTGGCGATGATGGTATTGGTAGTGGTAGCTCTGGTAATAATCCTTCAACTTCAAATAGAGTAATACGTTTATCTCCTCTTGAAGAAATTGAAAAGGAAGAGAAGTTTTACCCTAAAATTAGTGATGATCTTTGAATAGAGGGGCTTATAAATACAGGCGGGGAGGAGTTTATACTTACGGACATGGATCTGGGTGCGGATTTCAGTCTAATAGAGATATTAAATGCTTTAATGTATTTCATCTATTAATATCGCATTTTTCTTTTGCCTTTTTCCTTTAATAGCCTATTTATGTAAAGATTATCCGTTATATATTAGTGATAATATCATGTGTTGTGTTGTGTTGTGTTGTATATAGTTTTGATACAAAAATAAAATTTTATTTTTTTATAAATTCTTCACTTATATAAATTTATTTATATAAAGGGATCTTAGCATAATGGTAATGCAATTGACTTTTAATCATTCGAATATTGGTTTGAATCCGATAGATCCCAAATTTAAAATAAAAAAATCTTAAAGTGGGATCCCTCTTACAAGGTTTTTAAGACTAGCACGTAGGTACGATGAACTAAAATTTACTTTATAAGCTGCATTGTACAATAATAGACAAATGTTTTGTTTCAACGATTATAGTTTAACGGTAAAACTCCCGTCTTCCAAACGGATTTTGTGAGTTCGAATCTCACTAATCGTAAATTATTATGATATATTATCAATATATAAATATCCAAATATTTAGTAATTAAATTTAGAGTTTTTTATTTGCTAAAAGTTTGGAAAAAAGGGTAGTAGTCTTATTTTTTTTTTTTATACTTTGGAATAACAATATTGATAGATAGTATGTATTATACAGTAATAAGTTTAACAATTTACGAAGGCCGACGTAGTTCAACTAGCTTAGGAGTGGCTGGACTTCGTTATAGCTATAGAGGTGCAACTCCTCTAGCTTCGACTCGAATTAGTAACTCAATTGGTAGAGGACTTCCCTGTCACGGAAGTAGGTGCCGGTTCGATGCCGGTCTAGTTCGCCTTAAGGAAAAGTCGCCAAAGGTAAGGTAAGATATTTGCTAAATATTGTGTTTACACCTGGGTGTTCGAGTCACCTCTTTTCCGTCTTGTAGAGTAAAAAAAGTGAGGATATTATAATAAAGAGTATAGTTTAATGGTAAAACAGAAAGCTTCAACCTTTAAATTCATTAGTTCAATTCTAAGTACTCTTGATAGGTTTAGCTAAGCTAGTTA